CGCCTTCCTCAGATGGATCCTCGAGTATGCCGTGTCGCAGTCTGGTTGCATAGGTATGCTAAGCATTATCTGACTTGGCCTCGACGTCTCATGTCCTCCATTTGATACTAAGCGGGTTGATATTACCGTTGTTTCTCCAGCACGTCGATTTGCGCGAGGATCACATCCTTGCACCATGGGAGCGGATTTTTTATCATGGCGCTATACACATTCTTAAGGTACTGCTCTGTTGAGAGCCCGTCGGTGCATATAGCAGGGATCATGCCATGTCTGGCGACGTGTGTAGCGAACAAGAGGCGTGATGTTCGGCCGTTGCCATCTGGGAATGGATGGACGCTGACGTAGTACAGAGTGTCCCATACACCCTTTATCAGAGGATGTATGTCCTCTTGGTTGTGCGCAGCGAACTTTGACCACCGCTCCAGATTCGCTTCGACTTCGCGTGGATAGGGGAATATGGCCTTTGGGTTCGAGCGAACGCTGATTGGCATGTGGCGGATTAAGCCAGCCTTGAATGGCATTTGCATGCCTCGAAACAGTATCCTTGATATGATCCTTATGTCCTCTAGGAGGTTCTCCGGGGTTGATGCTCGCTCGAAATAGGTACTCGATAGTACAGCCTGTAGTGCAACAATGTTGTTGCGCAGTTGGAGATACTCTATCTCCTTGGACTCCTCGCCGTTGTCGAGTTTTATCAACTCGCTCGAGGATGGAAGCCGCAAATTCATCGCGTTGAGCAACGCGCTTCCACCGTCTTTTTGCAATGGTATGGCCGCTTCGACCTTCTTTGCGGTCGCTAACGACAGACTGTTGTGTTCTATGGCGCAGCTTCTCCAAGAAAAATTAGCAAGTACGTTACTGCAAAACATTGTAGTATCTTGCATGATCTTTGATGGTGATGTGTCCTCAGCTCTTAGCTGGAAATCTTTTCGCAGCGTATCCAAGTACGCAAGTTCTCGACGCATTTGGTGTTGCGCATCTCTCCAGGGTGCTGCATTTCGTATCTGGTAGACCTTGTCCCATACTGTTCCGGAACGGGCGAGCGTATTCCACTCCGGTCCATATTCAAGAAGACCGTCGAATTGCGCATAATGCTTTCTGAGGAGGGTGTTCCTCGCGCGGATGATTTCTTTCGTCCACTTCATGTTGTTTACGTTGCTGATTTTCTGTGTGTGTTGACGTTCTGAAGTTTGGTGCAGGTTAACAGAATCTTTTCGGAGGTTTCGGGTTGCTAGTAGCTGCACTTCTATGGTACTTGCCCCTACTTCCATGGTACTCTCTCTGACTTCCATAGTACTTGCACCCACTCAACCATAGCATAGCAGCGGCGAAGGTCCCAAATCCAGCATCACTCGCACTCGCCATACTATTGTAGTATCTTACAATATCGTTGATAGTAATTAGTCCTCAGCACTTAGCTGGGACTTTCTCCGGAGTGTATACAAATGTGCGAGCTCTCGATGCATTTCATGTTGTGCACGTCATCCTAGGAAAAAGCTAAACAGGTCTGCAGCCTACATTAACGTAGAAACCTACAAAGTAGGTGGCCTAACGTTGATGTAGGCTCTAGGCCTGCTCAATCTTTTCCTTGTATAAGGTGTGTGCATCTTTCTAGGGTGATGCATTTCTCCCACAGCCTGCATTAGAGGAAATCATCTGAGCCAGCCCACGCGCACAGATTGTAAGAGGCCAGTACAAGACGCCGACCTTGTTCATGGCACGAGCGATGACTTGATCCCCTGGGAGCAGTCGCGGGCGACGTACGAGGCGCTCGTAATGGAAGGTGTATCATCGGGCCTTGCTATCGTCGAGGGTGCGCCGCATATCTGCGACCTCAGTAGCAATCCCGAATCGGAAGGGTGGAAGGCTGTGTTGCAAGGCTATGATTTTCTTTCTGCCGCGATAGACCATGCCAGTTCTGCTGCCGCCGAGTGTTCCATCTGATCGGGTTCTTTCGGTTGCGATAGCCCTCGTTCGAGAGGCCTTCAACGTAGAAGGCGTAGTGTGGATTCGGAACTCATGGGTGGCTTATTCGCGATGGATCAGGGCCAGTGAGGTCTACAATCGAATCAGCTCGGTGCTTTAGGTGCAAAAGCACAACATCGAGGGATCCAGTGTAGCAACTCAATATCATCCCAGCGGAACACGCTGGATGGGGATCATCATCGTACCTGCTAATCTGTGATTACCTGAGCGGCCAGCACCTGGATCTAGTTGATGCGATAACTCGGAATCAAGGATGATTCTGGCGGTAAGGAAGTGCGCAAGCGACGACTGTTGCCGCCGGTAGTACGGTATGGGTATATGCGAGGCTGTTGGAGTGTCGGCAGGCCATCTCCAAGGCCCCTGGAAAAGCGCGGGGCTGTGCAGGGTCCAATTATGCGCTAACGATATGTGCTCGACGCCCGCGTCACTGTTCCCTGCCACGCCTGCTTCATCCATCTGCATGACTCTCTTTGGCATTCCAACCGCGATCGCATTTGCTTGCGCCGCGCTTCATCTCCATGGGCCGCAGAAGCACGGCCAGCCCTTCGGATGCCATGTGCACGCGTCATATACTTTCTTTTTCGCGCTGCCATTCGAGCTTCAATTCCATCTCGTTCACAGCCAAGGGCTTTCTAGTGTTTAGGCAACAGCGCTGTACCCGGCAGAAAGCGACTCCAACGGAATGTGACATGCGGAGAGTCAACACTACCGAAAAGAAGCGATATTCGGATCTGGATTACAGTCCAGCAGCACCCTATTGTAAGCGCCCAAGGCCACTACATTCAGGGCTAGAGCATATGACACGAGAAGGATACTAGAACCCGCAAACGGTCTTGCACATACCATAGTCACTTGCGCATGCCTTTACAAAGTAGCTTGGCTCACGGTCATCGCAATGCATCTCAGGCAATAGCTGGTATGATTACGGCGTGAGCATGTTCTCTGCTTACGATAGACAACGCCCGCACTACGGACGAGAATGCTTCTGGAACAGCTGATCTGCATATGTCGTAGATAACCTCGCATGTGGCGTATGCTGTATTCAATCATCTCTCAGCTTTCGATCTTGAACGGTCACGACTTTACACATGAAGAGTGGTGGCGCCGAATCGTTGGCAGGCCCCCACCTCAGCCTGATCATCTGCCGTGCCGCTCAACTTGATATTAGGTTCAGCCTTGGAAGAATTACTGCGATCCGTTCTGAAGGCTCTTCTACCACCTCAGGAGCCGTCTTCGACGCGCCTAGAGATATCTATTTACCATTCGCAATGCACCAGTATACGAAGTCCTCGCCGCAGAGGGCCACTGTAGGCGGGCAAGAACTGGACGGCATCCAGCCTCGCGATGACGAGGCTGCGATGAGACCGGGGAATGAATCCATCCGCTCAGGCTTCAACGTGAGCCCGGTGCTTCGATCAAGCCTCGACCCAGTCTCGACTGCCACTCCATCTTCAGTCCCAGACACAGCTTTGGAAAGGTTTGAAAAGCCTGCTTCTTCCGACCAAACTGGAAGTTCAATCAAGCACCTGCCTGTCACCTTACTTGGTAGACGCCCGAGGTGGAAACGGACATGGATAACGCCTGTCACAATACTAGGCTTCTACCTCATATGTAAGCATGATAAACAGCGTTGTACATCTGCTTGTTCATAATACTAACGGCGTCTAACCAGCCATTATTTGTGCAGCAACGCACTACTGTTTCTTCGTATACCTCGACGGTCGTATCATCTCTCCAGAATCTATGCCTTCCACGAAGACTACTACAGTACCACAAGCCTACGCTACTACGGTATCGCTAGTGCTAGTCACCGCATTTCGCGCTGCAATAATAGCAAGCATCGGCACATGCTATACGCAACACCTTTGGGCAACGTTCAGAAAGCGCACTCTCAGGGTACTATATTTCTCAGTCTAGCTAGCGGAACGGAAGCTTACAATGTGCAGATCAGCCTGATCGAAGATCTTTTCCAAGTGCAGACCAATCCGCTCCGCCTTTTCAACTACCACTTGTACTTCGAAACGCCAATGCTTGTAGCTGTTGCTATGTTTTGCTGGCTTGTACCTATTGCAACGTTATACCCTCCAGGTGCTCTAGTCGTCGGACTACAACTGTCTCCAATTGACCAAAGCTTCAACGTGTCCGTGTTCCACCACAGGACTCTGCAAGATATCGCGGACGAAAATGTTATAGCAGCGATAAGGTGTGATTACGATTGTACAGATGACGGCTGCGAAGGGTCTTTCCTCCAGCAACTTGCAGAGAATGCGTCGTTGCGAGCAACTTGCCGTACGCTAGAGGGGTTAGTCAATCTTATTTTGTTAGTTCACATTACAACCCAAGCCATTTCTGGTACACTCTAATTGATTGACAGCGCTACCGCCTTGGGTATGGATTATATCATACGTTCAAACCTGATTGTGGGCGAAATCTCCAGGCTGAAGCAACCAGGCAAAGAGAACAGCTCGTATGGACTGGATTTCTGGGGAACCACCCTAGATTGCGAGACTACGAACCGCTCCATGGAAAGCACAATCTTGCAATTAAGCTTCATTAACACCCCTTACTTGGGGATACAACATTCCGAACCCAGCTGCTCGTTGAGGAACAACGGCGTGGCAGACCTTTTTCTTGGAACTAGATCGATCACCCACCGGGTCGGTCACTATGAGGAAGAAAGACTACAGTATTGGCCATGTTTGAACAAAGACATATGGAATCCCACTATTGACACGGATGACATCAACTTTCCGGGTTCTGGCATACATGTCATTGTACCTATAACCGAAACAATATGTCAGCCAAGGATAGTGAGATATCACGTCACGATCTCACACGCTGGCGGAGCACAACACATCTCTTATGTGATTAGAGACGAGCAATCTGTACCGGAATACGCGACAAGTTTTGACAGTTTCAACGGGAGTTTTGAGCAATGGTCACAGCTTTCTGACACTGTATCGATCTACGAAGATTTTGCATTGAACCTCAATGAGTCTGGAACCATTTTCAAAATGGCCAATTTCGAGTATCCTAGCATTTCGAACGAGACGAGACCGTACACAAATCACAACGGTATCGTCGTGGAAACATGCGTGCTCGAAGTGAAGAGCTCGGGAACGACACAACTCCCTTCTGAAAGTGAGATCTGGCCCCTCGGTGTTTTCGAGCAACGACTCCATGACATCGACGGGAATTATGAATGTCCAGCGTTTGATCCTGAAATGGCAAATGAGCTCCTCATCAACACCACAATCTCAGCACTGGCTCTAAACCAGCGCTTCGACACCGTCAACGGAACAGAGACCCGCACCTTCAACATCTACCGCTTCGAGAACAAGCTCGCCTTCTTCCTACCCTACAGTCTTTCACTCGCACTCGCCATACCGATCCTAGTACTAGGACTCGTAGCACTCTACGTCCAAAACCACGGCGTCTCGGCTATCAGTGGAGGTTTCATGCAGCTTCTGATGACGACTACTGGACGCGGTTCACTTGAAGCGGTGGTTACGAGGGGCTCGGGTACGCTGGGCGGATACGAGAATGTTTCGGAAGAGCTGCGTGGGATGGAGGTTAGGTTTGGAGAACTCGTTGACGTTGGTGGGGATGAAGTTACGGAGACTGACACGCTTCTGAGCGGGCGTGATGGGCTTGTCGATGTGCAGAACGATGATAGCTCGCAGTCAGGTGTACGAATTTCGTCCAGAACAGAGCGGTTCGAGAACAGCGTTTCTGTAGCGCGAAGAGCCGGCTTCGGCACGGTCGACGAAGTGATACCATTTAGGAAGAACGCAGAACAGTAGTTGGAAGCATTTGTGCTCTAGGAAGCTACGGAGGGAAGAAAAGTGACGGGTTTGCATTGATCAAGGTTATCTGGACACTTGCAATGCTGATGGTTCAGCTATGACGGTGATGGTGACGACGTACACCGGAAGTTAATTCGGTTAAAATCGAATCGCGTTACCCCCCGTAAAGCGGCATGTTGTGTAGCGCATCGCATTCGTGAGAACTCCGAAGGTGTTGTGATGATGAGCAAAAAGAGAGCAACAAGAAGCAAAAGCAAAACATACAATAGCGCCCTCAGGGCAATGCTTGTATAGGGCTGAGCGGACACAGATTCGAGCCTCAAAATCGAACAATACCTATTGTTCGGCCCATCTCTCTTTCGTGGTTTTCTATTCGCATCAGCCAATACGAATGATGGATTCACGGCGCTAATCTCGGTGTTATGTCGACCGTGCTCACCGGCGGTAAGATTAAGTCTCTCCTCGGTATTGTCTACGGACCGTTTCTAAGCTTACACACCGAGCCAGGGGGAAGGTTGTATTGCTTGCTCATTCCGTTCGCTCGCTCTTCTTCGTAAAGTTTGTTTTACACATTACATTGTAAACCTCAGAATCATCGCCAGACCCAACAATGCAGACGCGCAAAAACCAACAGGTAGCTTTTGCGGCAGTCGCATTCCTTTCTGCCTTTGCATCCAGCTCGCCAACACACCCACTCTCGCGTCGCGATGTAGCTTCGCTATCCAACGTGCATGCTCTAGCACTCCAAGAGCGTGGTATACCGGTAGTCGACTCAACCATTCCCCTCAAGCTGCGTTCCGGCGCTGGCAGACAACTTGCGAAACGCCAGAGCGGTGGGCCATTGCGGACGATCTATGACGGAGCGCAATATGCCATTGACGTGACCATCGGTACGGAGACGCTTCAGGTTTTGATCGACACTGGAAGCAGCAGTTTTTGGGTACCAAAGGCCGATTTCGTGTGTGTAGACGTAAACGGCACGCAACAGTAAGTCCAACGCATTACCCAACTCTCGTCTGGTACCTTGAATCTGATATTGAACGTTTCTCATTGTAGATCTCAGCCCACTTGCGGATTTCCAAAATTCGGCCCCAAAAGCTTTTCTGGCGGCCAAATCGCGGACCAGAACTTCAACGTGACATATGGCGGAGGAGAATTTGCCACTGGCATTGTGGGTCTCGAAGACGTCGGCTTTGGAGGTGTGACCGTCAAGAATCAGAAGATGTCGTTCGTGAGCAGGACCTACTGGCTGAGCGCAGGCAATCTGACTAGTGGGCTGATGGGTATGTAAAACATGTTGTCTGCTTTGAGTGTTTGTTAACGAAACTCACTAGGCTGGGGACTCGGTGCCACTACAGCCATCTTCGAGGGCGCAGACTCGTCCCAAGACGGCGGGAAAAAGCCCATATTTGTCAAACCATGGCTGGAGACCGCCTATGACCAAGGCTTGGTGGAGAAGCCCATCTTCTCGGTCGTGCTCGGCAAGAGGGGTAAAGACGACGCGGACTTGTCAGCTACAGGTTTCCTTACGATAGGAGGAGCGCCATCGTCATCGTCTTTGCCGCTCACGGGTGCATACGCTACTACGCCAATCCTCAAAGAGACGTTCGATCACTACCAGCTGGAAAACGAGTATGTCCACTATGTCATCCGACCGGACGGGTTTGTGGTGAACGGAAAGTTCATCGCCTGGGCCCCAGGCACCTCCGCAGGCACCCATTACGGAGACAGTCAAGAACGGTTCACGATCCTGGATACCGGTACCGCTTACACCATGATCCCGAAGGCTCTTGTAGAGACAATCGCTGCAGCCTTCGACCCTCCAGCTTCCTTCAGTCAGGATGACGGGCTTTGGGTGGCTTCGTGCAATGCGAAGATACCTTCTGTCGCCATTCGCGTCAACGGGACGGACCTTCCTTACGCCTCATCAGACGTTCTCGTCGACGGAACTCTTGGCGTAATCAACGAGCAGAAGAAGACATGCATCGTGGGTTTCATGGAACCATCTACTCCGCCTTGGGGTGGCGACCTGCCGTATATCCTCGGAGCCAACTTCCACAGGAATGTGCTAGCGGTACACGATATTGGGAACAAGGTAATGACGTTTGGTGCGCTGAAGTGGAACTGATCCCGGGTTCATTGCCGCTCTCATAGCATACACAAGATTACATGTCGATAGAAAATACCTTCACATCTGTTATGCACGTCAATATCCCATAGCTCTCTAAAGATCCCTACCGTTCTTTCGCGTAGTATTCTTCCCCTTTGCGCGTAAGCGTTATGGCCAGCAGTGCCAACATGACCGTCAATTGACGGAACGGTGGTTGACTCCTTCCCTTTATGTCAGTCTAAGGTCGCGACATACACCTAGGCTAGAAGAGTACGCCGGCAAATAGACGCTGAACTGTGCTAGCTTAGTCCTCGTAATGTAGCAAAGTACCTTACAAATAAGCACATTACACAGCCAGACGTATTACTTAATTTATTTAGTCTTAGACTTAGTAATAGGCATAGCTAGGGTAGGGTCGCCTACGCAAAGACTACCGCAGCAAGACACAGAGCTCCAGGGAGACCCTGGATAAAGAAAATCTTGGTATTTGCCGTCCACCCTCCATAAACACCGGCCACAAACACACAACCCGCGAAGAACAGAGCGATTTGAGGCGCAAAGACGGCGCTGGGGTGGACCAGAGACCACAAGAGGCCAGCTGCCAGAAATCCATTATACAGGCCTTGGTTGGCGGCCATGGTCTTGGTTTTGGCCGCAAAGTCAGGCTTGAGTGCAAATGCTTTCAACCCTGCTGGCGAGGTCCAGAGGAACATCTCCAAGGCCATGATGTAGACATGGAGGGCGGCTAGTAGAAAGACGGTAATAGAGGCGAGGAGCGGCATTGCAGGCGCAGATTGAGGGTTGGATGCGGTATCGATTTTAAAAGAGATGATGATGTGAGGGTATGGTCGAGTCTGGTGATGAGGGGGAATGAAGGTGAATAAATAGCTAGAGGCTACTTCGGCTTTACTTGAGAACCGCTAGTCTCAACGTGTTGCAGGAATGCTAGCGATACGGGCAAATTCCTTCCTATAATGCCGAAGGTTCTCACGTTCCCGCGAGAATTCGAGATTAGGCTACAAGAGTAGACCCCAGGGTGTTCAGTTTTTCCTAAAGTTGACATGCCCCGGGAAAAGCTATTGCGTAGATAGTCCTTAAAGCTAGGTGTTAGTTTTGTGGAGGCGGAGAGGCAAGGTTCCCAAAGGTTGAGCTGGTGGCGTTCAGGCGGGCAGCCGTGGGCGCCGGCTGTTGCCTAGCCTCCCTGCCTAGCCCTAGCTGACTGCGGTCATCACCGCCCCGCGCCATAAAACGACAACCACGTTGAATATCATCTCCTGTTCTTCGTCGCACAACAACAGTTTTGCCACGAACCTTTCATTTACATTCCAGTGTTCATATTCCTGAATGCTACCCAAAGCAATGATAGCAAAGTTACATCCAGATCATGCGTCTGTTACGGATGAATGAAGATGGAGACGTTAGCCTTGAAGACCACGCGGAAAAGACTGAGCCGTACGCAATACTTTCGCATAGATGGGGGGAAGACCATGAAGAGGTCAACTTCAAAGATGTAATGGAGCACACGTACAGGCACAAGAGAGGGTACGCAAAAATCCGCGGCTGTGGAAAACAAGCAAAGAGTGACAGCCACCAGCTCTTTTGGATTGATACCTGTTGCATCGACAAAAGTAGCAGTGCAGAGCTTTCCGAGTCGATAAACTCCATGTGGCGTTGGTACTGCAACTCTCAAGTCTGTTACGTCTACCTAGACGATGTCCGTGCAGATATCGATGAGGCTGAAAAGCACACCGCGTTCACCAAATCAAAATGGTTTACGAGGGGGTGGACACTTCAAGAGCTATTAGCAACCCCTAAGCTTGAGTTCTACGACGCCGAGTGGAACCAGATCGGGACGAAAGAGAGTCTAGCAGATAAGATCTGGGAGATCACGAACATCGACAAAGACTTCCTTGGCTCAGACATCTCCTTACTCAAGCAAGCGAGTATTGCTGAAAGAATGTCGTGGGCCTCGAAAAGAACGACAAAACGAGAAGAAGACATCGCTTATTGCTTGCTCGGAATCTTCGACATCAACATGCCTCTGCTGTACGGCGAAGGCGCGAAAGCTTTCCAGAGGCTACAAGAAGAGATTGTGAAGCATTCGGATGATCAGTCAATATTGGCCTGGACTTCCTCGTCCGCGGAAATCGACAGTGGCAAGCTTTTCGCCCCTTCGCCAGCTGCGTTTGCCGTTTGTAACGATGTGGTGCGAAGCTATCAACCAGGTCCGGTGAAGCCGTACTCCATAACAAACAAAGGCCTCAAGATTAGTCTACCGCTCATCAGGGGAGATGTTTACGGCAATTTCCTCGCCGTGCTCAACTGCGGACGCCAGTTGGATACTTTCAGTAGTTTGGCACTTCCGGTAAAGCAAAGTGGCGACAGTCACCAATATCAAAGGCGAAACGGCGAGCTCCAACCTGTTCCTCTTACCGATTGGGTTCGTGCAAGAGTGCAGCCAATGTATATCAGTATGGAGCCGCTCACTGACTACTCGACAAACCGCCTGAAAGACAACACGTCTATTCTCCGTGTGCTACCGGAAGGCTTTGAAGTCTCACAGATATTTCCCTCCGGTCCAAGTTCACATAAAACGCACACTTTTGAAGGGAATCGACATCCAGACTCTCCGCAAGACCCAAACAATCGAACCCTTGTGGAGCTCAGCTCGGGGGGAGCGCGCCGCTACCTTTTCATGACGTTCTTCCACAAGAACAGGATCTTTCACGACTGCGTTTGGGATGCCCGGGTTCTGCCTGTTCTCATCAATAACAGCTCCGATATTGAAGAAATCTTCAATGCATGGAGATGTAAGGACCTGACAACTCTGCAACGAGTTCAGGATTCATCTTACGGTAGAGTGGCTCTTCTAACCGTACCGCAGCTC